TACATATACATATACATATACATATACATATACATATACATATACATATACATATACATATACATATACATATACATATACATATACATATACATATACATATACATATACATATACATATACATATACATATACATATACATATACATATACATATACATATACATATACATACATACATACATACATAGTATCAATATTATGTGTTTATACATACATACATATATGTGTGTGTGCGTGTGCGTGTGTATATATATATGTATGTCTGTATGCATGCATGCATGTTCGCCATTTGACCGCCCGCCTCTCACCACGCCTCTCGCCATAAAAAAGGTCCTCTCGCCCGCCCCTCGCCACTCGCCATTAATAACTATGGAAAAGAGGACAAGACAACTTTTCTTAGGAGCTCACCAGACAACACAGTTGCCGCATACTAAGGCAATGCATGCATTCCAACCTGTACAATCATGTGGGAAAACCAAAAAAGTTGCATGTTAATGCTAAATCAATCTAATAGCAACTTTCCTCAACAAAAAAATCTAATAGCAACTTTGGTGGACACTTGGCCAATATTATGCCAAATCAAAATAATAGATCATCAGGTAACATCCTTCAAAAACTCCAATGGATTCAACAAAATATCAGGCACACACCCCATTTAAAAATTATATCGCAAAGACAAATCATCAATATATCCCAAATATGTTTTAAACAAATCTCAATTCTTACCAAGAACTGCACATGGAAAGTTGAATGCGGTAATCACGCCAACTATACCAAGAGGATTCCACATCTGTGCATGAAGAATATATAAGGAATATCAAAAGTATACAAAAAGCACAATACCAAAATCATGGTCTGTTAATTACTGCACCTCCAACATGGCATGATTGGGACCTGTAAACCACAAAAAAGACTAATTAATTGAATTTCTGCAAAAGTTCTATAAAGACGCCTAAATTTAGAAGCATCTTGATATCCAAATCATATCATCTCCAAAACTTCTATTGATTCATTTATGTGTCAAGTTAAAACTATGAAGACTACTAATCTAGAGAAGGAATAACATTAAAAAGAAAGGTATCCTCGCAAATACAACACTTTAATTTGAGCATTACAAGAAAAAAGAGAGAAAAGCAGGTGAAGATGAGTGGGCTCACGTTCTGATGGTATGACTGCTCCATTCAGTTGTCGGCTCAATCCAACAGCAAAGTCGCACATGTCAATAATTTCCTGATTAAATTGTTTTCAATGTTACATCATTAAATCATAACAGCATAAATGCTGAAGAAACTATAACAATCCACTTGCATGAAACATCACAGATTTAATCTCTAAATGCTCATCCAAAATGCATTTGAAAGAGATAGTGTGGCAATAAAAAGGAAGATTCTCAGACTTGTGACCGTAACATGCTGGAGCCTGGAAGGGTAACAAAGTTGATGTTTGTCTAAGCTAGGAGTCACAGCTTTTACTAATAAAATAAGAGAGGACAGACTACAGTGGTTTGGCGATACTCGCGGCTGTGGAGAAGTGAAGAGGCATGCCATGAAGGGAGTGGGACAAGCAGCAAGATTGGATAGGGTGGCCTTAAACCTTTTTGCAGATATGATCTCACATAGGAGTTCTAGAAAACACCACCATATTAGGGTTGTAGAGCCCTTGTAGGAATTGTAAGTGAGGGAAGTCAGGGGTTGGTTGCTTAGCCTGCTGGTGTTGGTTAGCTTCTGGCAGACTATCTGCTTGTTTTATTGCAGAGTTTATTCTTTCTTTATTGCTTGGTCATTTTGTTTTTTTTAAATTTCACAAACTATTTTTCTTTTTGTCAATGTACTCTCGAAAACAGTGTCTACCCCTTAGTGTAGAGGCTAAGTCTGCATACATCTTTTCCTGGGAGTCCCTGACGCTACTGTTGAGTGGGATATACTGAGTTTCCTTCAAAAAATATTTTGGTCCATTCATATCTATTTGTAAGTTACTATTTTACTAGTAAAATCATCCTTGAAGAGTGAAAATAGTTTAGTTTTGCTTTCTATAAATGAGAAAAAATATCGTAGGCTACATGATAAAAAATTTAGGTTGATAAAAAGCGAAGTGTGATGGATATCGGGACCTTGGAGAAGCCCAACGGGGCCCAAATGTCGTTTCGTGACCCAACAGGAATAGAGCCCGAGTGCAGAACAGGAGGAGAGGCTGAAGCCCAAAAGCGCAGGCAAAGTAGTGGGTCAAATCCGGCCCATATAGATGGATTAAACACGGTGCAATAGGGAAACGTGATTCCCGAAATCGTGGGATTGAGGACTGATTGACGACTGATTCCCCGCCACGATTGAGGCACGACAGTTTCAAAGGAAGATTCCAATATGCTCTAATACAAGGAGGTTATAGTGGTAACTAATTTGTAAATCACAATAGTCAACTCTCCTCAAGAGATGGAGTTAACTCTTGAGCTACGCCACCCTAGAAGTAAAGTACATACTTGAACCTCCCCAATTCCTTCAGGTAGTATCTTCCCGATTTCAAGTGAAACAAGTCGGCCAAAGTATTGAAGCTTTTCTCTGAGTGCATCACCAATCTGCCTAACAATATCACCTCTTTTTGGTGCAGGGACCTGAGAGAAGAAATCGAGGCACCAAAGATATTTACTGAACATAAATAAAAGGAGCCTAGAAAAGCTCTAGGACACAATTAAGATGACTTTTCACACATTAAGCACAAAAATCAGCAAAATGTGACTCAATATTTTAAACGAGTGATTAGATAGATGAAAGTGAAGGCGAGAAACAGAGAGGCTGGGAGCATACCTGCATCCACAGCTTCGCTGCAGAATTACAAGCCTTCATGCCTTCTTCATAATCTTCTATTGAACCTTCAACAACTTCGGCTATTGTCTGAGTTGATTAAAATATGTCAAATAAATTAAACAATCACAGAGCAATCCATTGAAAAAATATACTCCATCCATCCAAAATAAGCCTTATTGTTTCATTCCAGTCCATCCCAAAATAATCTCTCTCTACCTCCAAAAAAAGCTCACATTATTTCTTTCTTTTCAAAATAAATTTCAAACCACGTTCTTCAACTTTTCAGTGTGGCGGGTCAAACCTGGAGCTAGGTAATAGTACGGAAAGGGTATTTATGAGTAACAAAAACTATCGATTAAACTTCTAGAATGAATGAAATTCAGAACCCATAAACTCTCAAACGAACTACCACAGAACCTAATCATAGGTGAGAATGGCAGTTACAGACAGTCACCATTAAAATACTCACTCAGGCCATTTCATAAACGAACGGGAGAAAACCCATGAACTGACCTCGTTGTTGGCAGGATTTACAGAGGAGACCGTAGGGCCGCTAGCTTTCCACGCCCCGTTGACGTAGCAACCGAGATTTCTGGGGCCGATTCCGATCTCCTTGAGGAACTCGTACTCTGGCTTCGCGAAACTCATCTCTGCATTCCAAAATAATGTCAATAGAGCATGAACAACTGGAATCGAAACGAAATGATCCGATGGCCACAAGCTCGGATTATGGTGAATAGGAGAAATGGCTTGATATGATCGTCTGTAATACCTAGTACCTGGCTGATCCAGGCTGATGAGGAGTTAAATGGGGATGTTGGACATCATGTTGGAGTGGCTTGGGCCAAATGGCGGTTAGCTTCAGGGGTGTTGTGTGATCCGAAGATCTCGATCTGTAGTCAGACCTGCTATGTTATATAGGGCAGAGTCTTGGGCGGTTAAGAATACTCATGTGTGTCGTCTACATGCGGCGGAGATGCGGATGTTAAGATGGATGTGTGGGAAGACAGGTTGGATAGGATTTCGAACGAAGTTATCCGACGTCAGGTAGGCATGGCGCCGGTGAAAGATAAGTTGCGGGAAGCGGGGTTGAGATGGTTTGGTCATGTGAAACGGCGGGATGCTGACGCCCCTGTACGGAGATGCGAGAGTATTACGATTATCGGGGGGAAGTAGGGGAAGGGGTAGACCTAGGAAGAACATGAAGGAGGTGATTAGGTAGAATTTAAGACTTCTCACCCTGACTGAGGATATGGCCTTAGATAGAAACCTTTGGAGAACTAGGATTAGAGTAGCTGGATAGGAGCTCGGTGCTCTGGAGGTTGTTTGTAGTGTGTTGTGTTTATTTGGAATCTTTTGCCATTGCTTGTACTTGTTGCTTGTACTTGTTGCTTGTACTTGGTGCTTTACCCGTACAATAATGTGTTCCCTTCCATAATTTTGTGCATGTTGAGCCAGGGGTCTCTTGGAAACAGCCTCCCTACTTCCGAGTAGGGGCAACGTCTGCGTACACACACCCTCCCCAGACCCTACCGTCGTGAGATTCAACTGGGATGTTGTTGTTGTTTTACCTTTTCTCCTTCTTTTTTTCTTTTTTCTTTCCTCTACGTGGCTCAGGCGGCTCTGCTCTTCCGCGCCAGCCAGCCGCACGACTCTCCTCTCCCTTTTCTGCGCTCTCCTTCCTACAAGGCAGGTAATATCTTCTTTTTCTTATCTTTCTCTTCATATCTCTGATGCACCAACCCCTGTAGCACGACCATCCCTCTGTCAATCTCTTCTCTTCATTCCATTTTTAGTCAATTTCTATAGCAATAATTTTTTGAATTTTTGTGGAGTACATAGGGTATTTGGTGATTATGGACATACAAACATGTATTGTTACACATGTTGAGAATGATCAACCACATGATTTTGGTGGTGAAGAAGAAGACCTAGTTTTATATAACTTGCAGCCCAGTTGTAAGTGTTGATATTTAGACCCCATTCTATATTCATTTGAAGTAGTGAAAAAATATTGTTTTGTTTTGGTGTTACAGAGATTAAAGTTCTGTGAACCTAGGGTTTGTCCTTGTCACAGATTCTAATAATCTGTATGCACTCTGCATTTGGTGTATTTTTGTTTGCTTCATAGTCAGGCATTGTATTATATTAAAGGTGCAGTTTTTTTGCAGCTTTTGAACTAGAGTTGTTTCTTAACGATCCTTGCTTTCAATATTTATTTAACGACGAAGGGCAAGAACAGGCGAGTGGTGAGATCGGACAGAACACAGATGACATTAACAATGATGTCCGGAACAATGGTCAGTGTCCTTCTAAAGGAAACAAAGGCAGCGTGCCTGAAGTGGGGATGAAGTTTACAAGCATTAAAGAAATCCGAAAACACTATCTGGCTTATGCTCGAAGTGTAGGATTTCCAATGTGGACTAGGACAACTCGTAAAGCCAAAGATGGAACTCCTAGAAGTGTTACATTTGTGTGTAGTCGACAAGGAAATAAAAAGAGCAAAACACGAGATGTGTTCCACCCGAGGCCAACAATGCAATTGTGATGTGAAGCTAGAGTAACTGCGTCATGTGATGGTGATGGAATATGGAAGATCTCCATTGTGCATTTATTGCATAACCATGACTTGAGTCCTACGACATCTAGAATATATCGTTGTAATCGTAGTTTTCGAGCCAGTGTTAAAAAGTAGCTTGAGGTTAATGACAAGGCAGGAATTCCTTTGCACAAGAGTTTTCAAGCAGCTGTTGTGGAAGCGGGTGGGTATGAAGAACTTGACTTTATAGAGAAGGATTGTCGAAATTACATTGAAGAGTTTAGATGATTAAGACTTGGTCTCGGAGATGCAGAGGCAATACAAGGATATTTTAAGAAGATGTAAGCAAAGAATGACGGGTTTTTCTTTAGCATGGATGTGGACGAAGAATCAAGGCTTACAAATGTGTTTTGGGTGGACAATAGGTCTCGTTAGTGTTACAAATCCTTTGGTGATGTTGTGACATTTGACACTACATACTTGACTAACAAGTATGAATTGCGGTTTGCTCCTTTCGTAGGTGTAAACCATCATGGGCAATCAGTACTGCTTGGTTGTGGCTTAATCGCGCACGAAGATACAGAGTCATTTGTTTGGCTTTTCAAGACATGGCTTCAATGTATGGATGGGGTTCCACCTCAAGGCATAATTACAGATCAAGATCAAGCTATGGCGAAAGCAATTCCTATTGTGTTTCCAGGCATTAAACATCGTTGGTGTCTTTGGTATATTCTTAATAAATTACCTGAAAAGTTAGGAGGCAGGTCTAATAAAGTTGAAATCATGGATAAGATAAACGACCTTGTGTATGATATTCATGTTATCACTGAATTTGAGTAAGGCTGGAGAGAAATGATTATGGATGAGGATCTTCATGACAACGAATGGTTGGTTGAGATGTTTGCTTGGAGAGAGAGATGGGTTCCATGTTATCTACGAACTTTTTTTTGGGCTGGTACTTATTTTATGTGTTCTATTTTTTAATTTGACAATTACTGTCTATGTGAGTGTTATTCACAGACAGTAATAGTCTATGACGTTTAAATTACTATTTCAGCATTTGTGTGTTAAACAATAATTTCTTCCACAAGTATGTCCTCAACGCAGCGTAGTGAAGGCGTGAATGCTTTCTTTGATGGCTACGTGCATTCAAAGACAACACTCAAGCAATTTGTTGATCAATACAAGTGTGCACTAAGGAAAAAAGTTGAAATGGAGTTTCAAGCAAATGCTAGCTCCTTTACAAAAATGATCCCATGTGTCACTATGTATGAAATGGAGAAACAACTTCAAAACGTATACACTATTTCCAAATTTAAAGAGTTTCAGACAGAAATTCTTGGGAAAGTATACTGTGATATTATAAGCAACATTGGTGATGCTTTTGTGGTGGAGGAGTACGTGTGCATCAAAGGGTTTCGCACGAGGAAGTCTTATGAAGTCGCCTTTGATCCATGTACACAAGAGGTGGAGTGCACTTGCCATCTTTTTGAGTTTAAAGGGATGATTTGTAGACATTGCATTGTTGTCTTGATTCAAAATGGTGTTAGGTTTTTGCGTGAGAAGTATAACCTAGAGCGATGGAGGTGTGATGTGAAGCGGGCATACACACATGTCAAAGTAGATTATGATGGATGGATTTGTACGGTCGAACAACAACGGTATGATGACTTGTGTAACAGCTTTCGGGCTTTGGCGAATAAAGTCGTAGACGATGAATACCGCACAAAGGAGATAATGGATTGGATTCAGAAGGAGATGTCTGTAGAAGCAAAGCGTACCCAAAATCCATCCAAAGGAGTGCAAGAAATTCCCGAACATACAACAAGCACTACACTTGTGTTAGACCCCATAATCGACACACGCAAAGGAGCTCCACGAAAGAGTCGTCTCAAGTCCAACATGGAAAAGAATTGTCAAAAGAAAACAAGAAAAAGGACTACAGAGAAAAACCCAAAACCGAAAGAAGGTAGAAAAATGAAAACCTACCTAATAAGAGGAAGAAAATGGATGCGTCTGAGATCTTTGCATCACAACGGCAGCATGCTTGGCCCGTGCAAGACAAAGATGGTGTTTACGACCTCACCTTGGGAGGTCTAGAGATTGGCCTTTCACTACATTGACTTTTAATCGTCCTTTTTTGGCATCAGATCTAGAACTTTGCTCTCATTTTTGGATTGAGCATGGGAACTCTAAATCACATAGCTTTTTGCTTTTTGTGTAAAGTATGTAACAAATATGATAACTTTCTCTGAGTTCCATGCACATAAACTGACGTAAACCTGATGTAACTCTGTCTTCACATACATTAAGTCTCTGTGAAGTGTGTGAAATAGACAGTTATTCCATGTGAGCCCGCTGAAATCTAATGTATGCATTTTAACTTTCTTTTTACCTTTACAAGACCCCCACATATGTGATAAGATTCTGAAGATGGTGTATGTATATAAAGTTATGTAACTATGTCGTCACATGCATTAAATCTCTGTGAAATGGGTAAAATAGATAGTTATTCTCTGCGAGGGCTCTGAAAGAAAATCTGTAAATCAGTCATAAACTAATGTAAATCAGTCATCACATACATTAACACATTGTGAATTAACAAGTACAAATTCAGAATTATAAAAGCCCCATTACAAAGCTTTCAAAAAATTCTAAAGTGTTTCCCCAAAAAATACATTACAAAGCACATAAACTATTACAAAGAGTTTCACAAAAATTAAAGACCCCTAAAATTGTAAAGTAAAAATGCTAAATATTGGGTGTTTTCCTTGCACGCCATAACCTAGCTGCAAATTGACATCGGAAATCAGCCATGTGTTCAGAACTACAGTCCGGGCTTAATGGTAAGCCCACCAACAAATACTCTAGAAATGCTAGCACCATCACTCCACAATTGCCATATCTGCAAGGGAAAATAGTATTAAAATAAGTAGGGGAGTATGATTTTCACCACTCCATGTGAGTACCATAACGAAATAATGGTGAACAGACCTAGAGTCCTGTTGCGGAATGACAACAATTGTTTCCCATTTCTTCTCCAAAGTGTTTGGACCCACACCCTTAACTGTGCGAAGTAGGGGGTATTTCTTACTACGTCTTGAATGTAAAATGAGGGTTTCGGCCCTTTCAAGGAGTCATAAACTCGAACTTGATTTCGTAAGAGGTCTAATTCAGCTAGATACCAATGTCTCCCATCTCCATTCACGGGCAAAAAAATATACGCATCAAGGGAGAAAAAAAGAGCTTACTGTCTATTTTACAAAACACACAGACAGTTTATGTATGTGAAGAGAGATTCACATGAGTTTAAGTGCATGGAAGGCAAAAGAAACATATTACCTTTTCAACGCCAGACCAATCAAACTTGCTTAAGAACTTATCCTTAGACCAAACTCTTTCATCGGCATTCATACGTAGTAAGTGGTTCTATACAAAATAAACATAAGACTTTTGAACATATCCTTATCTTTAGCACAATCAAAATTTAAGAAAAATGGCCTTACCACAAACACTGGTCCAACAACAGTGATGTTCTTGCACTCTATCCCATTGAGAACTTCCATCATATTGTCCATAATAGCCTGCAGATGCTTAACATATAACAGAAACCAGTTATAAAATGTCATGATATGGAAATTAATTTAACCAATAAAGCTTACTAACATCATTGCTTAACCATTTTTCCTGATCTATAAGATCACGGAAGAAGTCTTGATTGACGTGGCCAACACCTTTGGATTGTAGTTAAATTATCGTGGGAGAGACATTGTCTTCTTCATTTATCCAACTTTCAAGACTGTTCCAATCTTCAACTGTTATTTCAATTGTGAACGGATTTACCGTTGGTCGCACATTCTTACGCGGTCGGGGGTCTGTAAAGGGGCTGCAGTAGTACTTTGATTTTTGTCTCTTTCTCTTTTGCAAAGGTTCCTCCATCACATATTTTTCCTTACTCAACAGCTTTTCCTACGTAATTAATACATTAAATTGTCAAATGCAAAGGAAATAAAAATGTAAGTAAATAGAACCTACTTAAGGAATTTTACCTTTTTGAAAGTCAATTCCATCAAGAGCTTGGCTTCATCTACTTCATCACCCTCCATGTCATCTCCCTATTAAAATATGCACACCACTCAAATGTGCCAAAAAAATGGATGTAGACAAGAATGGTATATGCACATAATTGAAATTTACCCATTCAGATACTTCAACCATATGTGTATCACTTGGAATTGGAAGAGCCTCATATGGAGGTAAAAGAGCTTCTTGAGAATTAAGAGTATTAGTCATGTTGTCTTGGGGTTCTGCAACATACACACACATGTCAAAAAAAGGGTGTACAACATTTCTGGAAATAATCCATGTGACGGAGAAAGTGTAAATTACATGTTGAGCAGTCCCCTACTTTTCGGCATGAGCCTCGTCACTGTCATTGTGAGACTTCTCAACAGTAGTGTCCTCATCCTCATTTTGCTCAGCAGCATTGTCCTCATTCTCTCCAAGAGCAGTCTCCTCCTCATTTTCCCCAGTCTCCTCAGTCTCCTCCTCATTTTCCACAGTATCCTCCTCATTTTCCCAAGTCTCATCTTCATCTTCCTCAGCAGCAGTCTCCTCCTCATCTTCCTTAACATCAGTCTTCTCCTCATCTTCCTCAGCAGCCTCCTCGCTTTCATCTACTTCTTCTGACTCCTCCACATCTTCCTCAGAAGCCTCTTCTTTTTCCTCCTCACTCTCTCCATCACTTGCAGTTGACACTACATCCTTTGTCCTTTCTCTCTTCTGTCTCTGACTTCTAACAGATCTTCTCCTTCGGCCATTTAACTTTTGCCTTCCCACATCGGTTGAATTCAACTTCATAAGAACCTCCACCAACAACTTATTTATTTCATCAATCTTCACTTCAAGTCCATCCATCCTTTTCTTCAAATCTATAATGCCTCGAATGGTGTCGGCATCAGAATCCTGTGTACAAACAAGAGCAGAAACCATATATATTCCCAGACAGTGACTGTAGGTATTATGTAAATTTACAGAGGTTAAAAGTCAGTGAATATATTACCTTCTTTTGTTGCAAATCACGAAATAAAATGTCCTTGATTGTCACTACTTTCGGAAACTTCTTTGATGCCCAATTCAAAATTTCACAAGATTCTTTTCCCTCTTGCACAACAAGGTTTTTTTCAACCAACTCTAGAAAACATTAATAAGCCCACACCCTAAACAAAGTAAATATCAAAATAATGCATATTCCAAGTAAGTTTTAGAATAGATACTATGTTCATATACTAACCTGAATAGGCAATGGAAAACCATAGAAGGTGTACTTTAAGGATTTGTAGTTTGGGGTTTCCTTGCTTTTTTTTTTCAAATTTTTTGGGTTGCCCATCCATTGCACCTTTCATATGTCGTATGGTAAGCAAGTACAACTCCCAAGCCCATGGATAAGATTTGAATTTTTTGGGCTCTTCGACAAGATGCAAATGGGTTGATTCAATGCATGTAGATTTATCCTTTGCTAAAAGGACAGACTCAATGAAGTAGAGCATGGTAAAGTCTACCATTTTCTTCAAATCCATGCTATCTCCGCTGCAACATACTTCTCTCATACATGCTTGAACGTGCACTTCGTGACCTCCCCTCCTAAGAATGTGTGACATAACGAGCTCTGTCCAAGATCTTTGTCCTTAAGAGCTGGGTACTTCTTTGTGTTCGACAACCCTGTTATTCTGCAGTAGTTATTGAAAGCGAATTTGACAATTTCACCATTCCGGAGGATCCAGAATTCATCGTCTCGTTGATTCTCAACAAGCAATAAAAGCATGTGGTGAATGATCTAGCTAGAAAACTAGAGGTTCTTAAGCCCCATGAAGCGCCCAATTCGAGTCCTACGAAATGCTTCTAATTGACTAGGACTCAGTTTCTTCTCAATGTTATTGATGGCTTCACGGATGTCAGAACAAACTCATTATTGAGCTCCAAAATGAGCACTAACAGGGATTAATAAAGACATCGTCTAAAATGAAGTTCAATTAACAGAAGTTAAATATCTACACAGACAATAATCATATATGAAATTAAATTAACAGAAGTTAATCTTCTATGTGAAACAATTCACAGAAAGTAGGCAAAAATAACAAGCAAACCTCTTTCACAGACAATAATGTTATATGAAGTTCAATAAACAAAAGTTAATCGTCTATGAGATATAATTCACAGAAAGCAAGCAAAAATAACAAGCAGACCTCTTTCACAGACAATAATGTTATATGAAGTTCAAATAACAGAACTTAACCATCTATGCCATACAATTCACACAGTAAGCAAAAATAACAAGCAAACCTATTTCACAGACAATAATTTTGTATGAAGTTCAAATAATAGAAGTTAATCATCTATATCATTCAAAATAAGACCTCTTTTATGCACTACGTCAAAAACAGATGCTGACAACTGTTTCTTTTAGTAGTCTCTCGGTGCTGATTTCAGTTGTCTTCCGAGCAGCTGTCTGATATTTACAGACTATTGTTTAAAAACAACTGTGTAAAATGGTTGACGACACCTGTTTTGTAATGTTTTAGAGTACCACTTTTTAGTGTTGTCCTCGTATGAGTAAGACATCTGTTTTTTAGAGTTAAAGATAACTGTGATTTTTTGTTGTCTATCTATAATGAATACTACTGTTGTTTCTAACTTCAGACTCCTAATTCTTGGTGTTGTCGTTCAACAATATAGACATCTACTTTAAAAAGTAATTGAAAGATATATCAGACTGCTGCTCGGAAGACTACTAAACAAAAATAAGATTAGACAACTGTTATCTTTTGTTGTATTTCTAGAATATGGACTACTAATTTTGCTATATTTTAAACAACCGTTTCTTTCAGTTGTATAGTGTTCAATAACACTGCGTTTTTTGTAGTTGTCCTTGAAATATTCAAACTATCATTTTACACACTAGTCAGATTATAAATCAGACTACTGCGACGAAGACAACTAAGTATGTTTGCATAAACAACTGCTATTATGTGTTGTATTTTTAAAATGTAAACAACCTTATTTGTTGTATTTCATACAACTGTTTGTTTAAATTGTCTAACGTTTATTAACAATTCAGGTTTGTGTAGTCATCCTTTAAAGATTTAGAAAACTGTTTAAATACATTGTAAAACTTTTTGAAAGACTACTATATTTCAATTTACAATTATATTTAATAATTAAAATTTATTTCAATTCTAAAATATTGGTCATGAAACAAAAATAAATTCCAAAATGTACAATATATTGAATATTACCTAAATACATACAAATATACAATCCAAAATCTTAATAGCATCCAATAATTTAATCTTTACATAATTAAAATCACATTCTAATTGTCCATTGAGCATGCTTAATTTAGTTATTTGTCCCCTCAATAACATCCAGCATTGAATCAGAGGAATATAGACCTTCAATTCTTGATGTCGTTGTGACCATGATAATCTGCAAGCAAAACATATATGAGTTGAATCACCAAAAGATTAACCTAACCGAGGAAAAGAACCTTCATGCAAGTGACTAGTAGAGGTTTGTGATTAATCTGCAGTCATATCAATATGATTAGGAGTATTGCCTTTATGCTCACTTAAACAAGTGATCGTATTAAAATCACTGCCAATAAACCATTGGTGTGAAATGACAGAGGTGTCAATAATATTTTTCAATAGTGTTCTTCTTTCTCTTCCTATGTGATTTCCATATACTCTACTAGAAATGTCCCAAAAAGTACAATTGACCAATTGATCAAGCTCATTGATTTTTCAAAGAAAGAGTCTTGCGTTATTGTAAAATATCCAGACCTTGTTGTTAAGAACATCCCAGGAGTCCGTGAAGCCTAGCTTAAACATGTAGGAGTCCAACTTATTTGGAGCCACAATTGGCTCAATAACAACAAGAAAATCAATTGAGTTGGATTTTACTTGAGAAGTAAGTCTGTTAAGGGATGACTTAATCCTACAAACATTCCAGAAAAATATGTATTCAGTAATGTATATACGATACACTTGAAAATGTAGACAAGGATGCAAGTTGGAAGGAGAACAGATCAAATATTTCTTTTTACCAGTGAGAACGGCTACTATGCTCATTCACATTGTTGGATCCCACAGCCAGTGCACTGCTTCCAGCCTGCAACACACTCCATACTTCGTTAATATTCTCAACTCTAGCTTCTACTATTCCCGGTATGTGATGAAATTTACAATAGAAGATATTACCTATGAATATACTAAATCACACACATGACCTTAAAACAGCTCCAACAATTATCCTAAATAGTTCATAAATTAGACCTTAATATACTCTAATGAGTCAAACAGTCAAATTAAGCATGCTGTGCCGCAGCAGACATCTATTCACAATCAAAGCTAAGTCACAATAGATGCAGAATTTGTAGCTTTTCATAAATCCACAACTGTTAGGCTTTATTGAGAAAAGCCTAGCGACATTTACATTTTCTTAACAGATCGGATTGAAACTAGAAGGAAACTCACAACTCTAGTTGGCGATTGGGTAGTGAAAAGAGACATTGCAGATATAGCATATATCGCCGGAGTCGCTGCCCAGACGTCGTCGCCGGCCTGCCTTCTAGACACCTTTGCTGCTATTTTCGTCGGAGCAGAGGATGCTCGCTGGACTCCCCACTGTTTAATTCACCGGAAAAGATGGAGGCCACTCCCCCTTCTCGCCGTTGTTACCCTCGTCGCCGGTGGAGATCATCACCACCACCCCTCTGTCTCATCGGAAATTCTCCACCAAAGATGGAGGTCTCCCGTCGCTGACCATTCTTAGACGTTGACTGGCCTCGCGGCATCGCCCTTCCTCGTCGCTGCTGGACTTCGCCGGGACAGAGGGAGTCACCGAAGCCTGCTGCGGGGGACGATGATCGGAGTTCGTCAGAGAAGGAAAACTGGCTAGGTCTAGTGGCGGCGTGTCTCGATCGGGGAAGAAGGAGGCGTGAAAAGAGTATATATATGCCTAGGGTTTTGCTCTCTGTAATTTAAAATAACGTGTCTGAGTAAAACACACCTTTCAGGCCAACTTGCTCCGAATTGAGTTCTGTTTGCATCGTTGGATTCGATTCGTTGATCCCTACCCAGCAGTATAATTTTTCTAATCATTTAACAAGCACTTATAGGTTCCACCTAGTCCGTCTGAATTCTCTCGATTAGTTAGTACCGATCGGTCTTTTACGACAAAATTCATAAACTTTGACCACTAAAATAAAATTGACTTTAGATATTGATACGAAATAATTTTTTTATTCATTTTATAAAATACTTTCAAAATATTATTATTTCTAAAAGATTATTGTATTTCAAAAAAACACAGATAGATAAAATTATATCAAATCAGATCATTGCATCTTAGTTTAACATGTTTATATGTTGTTTAGATGATATCTAATCAAACCATATCTCATCAAATAAGATAAAATCAAATCGAATTAATTTTTTTTAAATATAACTACAATTTGATCAAGGAGATTAAATCTATTCCAATTAGATCTTAATTAGATAAGATAAGATAAGATAAAATAAAATCTAATGAAATCAAATCTCAACTTAACATGTTTGTATGTTGTTTAGATGATATCTAATAAAATCAGATCTCATCATATCATATTAGACTAGATCAAATTAAAAGAGTTTTTAACATAACTAATCGGACTAATTATATCAAATCGGACAAAAACAGATCTAATCAGAATAAATCAAAGTCAAATCCAATAAGATCAGATCAAATATTAAAAAAATCAATTAGACCAGTCAAGATTAGATCTTATTAGATAAGATAAGATAAGATAAAATCAAATCCAATCAGGTCTGATTGCTTGTATATTTCATGCGACCCAGTGCATCTCAGTTTAACATGTTTATATGTTGTTTAGATGATATCTAATCAAATCAGATTAAACCAGATCAAATTAGAAAGAGTTTTTAAATATAACTAGAATCAGATCAAGCATATTAGATCTAATCAGATAAGATAAGATCAAATCAAATTCAATCAGATCTTATTGCTTGCATATTTCATGTGAGCCACTCCATCTCAATTTGACATGTGTATATGTTGTTTAGATGATATCTAATGAAATCATATCTCATCATATCAGATTAGACTAGATCAAATTAAAAGAGTTTTTAACATAACTAATCGGACTATTTAGATTCAATCAGACAAAAACCGATCTAATCGAAATAAATCAAAGTCAAGTCCAATAAGATCAGATCTAATCTTCAAAAATATTGAATCAAATCAAATCCAAATCTAGTAATATCAGATCAAATATTAAGAAAAATCAATTTAATTGTATAGGTCGTGTCATATTTGCATCATCTAATCTTTAAATACATCATATCAATTCTAATTAGATTGAACCAGACCAAAATAGATTTGACCAGATCAAATCAAATTCAAATATATTAAGATCAGATCAAATCTTCAAAAAAACAAATTAATTATATAGGTCATGTCTTGATTGCCTGATTTAATCTATAAATGCATAAGATCAAATCAAATTAGATCGAATTAGACCAAAATAGATCAAATTAAATCAAATTTAAATCCAATAAGATCAGATATAATCTTCAAAAATATCAAATCAAATTCATATCTAGTAAGATCCGATCAAATATTTAAAAAATCAATTTCAAATCGGATCTAATTAGATTGAATCAGACCAAAATAGATCTAATCGGATCAAATCAAATTCAAATCCAATAATATCAGATCTAGTCTTCAAAAAAATCAAATTACTTGTCAATTTTGGGTTATGCTACACTTACACCACAAATTGTACCCCATTTGTACACCGCAGTTATACACAAACATTTTGATGGTTTACACGGACACAAGTGTTGGTGCGTTAACAGAAATTTACACGGACACAAATTGTTGGTGCATTAACAAAAATTAGTTTTACACCAACACAAAGTGTTGGTGCAAAGCTACGAGGTACAAAGTGGGGTACAAAACATGGGGTACAAATAGCTTTATCCTTCTTAAAAATTTAAGGCTTCATCTCAAATTTTAGAATCCCTCTAGATTTTTCATTGCCCGCCTAATATTTTCATTATCCGCAAAAAAAACCTATCTCTCGCCACTTCGCCGTTCCTTCATGCCTGGAGCCAGAGCCGTCGTTCTTATCTTCTTCGTCGATGCCTCGACACCGGGCAGTGGTCTTCCGATCTTCATAGAGTACCACGATCCCGGTCCATCCCACTTATCGACGGTGCATATGCCTGCCTCAGCCGCTGTGTGAAGCCAACATCACAACCCCAATCTCTACTACCTCCAATTTACAGGTTTTACTTTATCTTGAAAATACTCTAATGGTTCAATTGTGTGAATTTCTTTGCATATCTCTTGAAAGTACTCTGAATAATTTCAATTATGTGGATTTATTATCTTAATTTTTGTTACCTCAATTTGATTTTTGATTTTTTATTGATATACTTTTAGATCGGTTTTTTTTATAATTTTTTTTATCTAAAAAATATGAAAGAATCAAATTTTGTTCACACCTACTAGTTTTACAGTAGGTTTTAAAAACAAATTTTGGCAATTTTATTTGAGTAGAGTATAAGTTCAGGTTTGGCTTCATATTATCTTTCTTAAGACTTTGGTACATGCATCTTCTTTAGAAGGCCGTTTATGTTCATTTACTGAGTTTCTGGCTATTCTTGTTTCTTGTGTTCTTCCAATTCAGCCTTGACCATATACACTGGAACTCCTAATCATTTTCCCTTTTCAATGGGAATAGAAGTTCTTCTCAATACGTTGTCTAAATTCACCTTGGATGGATCCATAGATTGTCCAGTCAAGACAAAACCTAAGCGATCCATCTTTCTTAGATTTAGACCTAGCCCTAAAGGATCTTTTCTTCAACTCATAGAAAGGAGACAAGATGGAAGGAATATGATATTCATCCTGGAAGGCCAACAAGGTAATGGCTTTACAACCTTAAGTATTTGGTTTGATTTAATGTTTCTTTTTTGGTTCGATTTAGTGTCTCTATCTGCAATTTTTAAGTATTTGGTTCGATTTAATGTTTCTTTTTTCCTTATGGTTCAACTGCAATCCTGTTCTAAAAACCTCCATGTATTGGAAAGCCATATGCATCAGACTCTAGCCTTGTCAGAGTGGGAGTTAGCATTCAGAAACTTGGACAGAATCTGTTACAGCCTTTGTCTGCATAGGTCTTTTCTTCTTCTGGGTTATATATTTTGTTTAAATGCTGCCAAATAGGGATTGATTTTAAATTACAGAGTATATTATATTATGTAATAACGATAATCAACTCTTGCAATCTTCTAAATTTTGATGTTTAGAGAAGAGCTTTTATTCTGTGGTTTGGCAGTATACTCTGACACTCTGACAGATGATTTTCTAGATGCGGTGACAGTGCTAATTGCTCTTCGTCATGGCTTTGGGCCTGGTTCTATGCTAGGTTCGACCTTATCACTCTGTTTGGTTCTCATAGATTGTTGCAGATGCTCGATATACTTTTTTTTAACCTGATATAGGATGTTTGCCTTTGGATCCTCTAACATGATAGATAAGTGGCTTTAATCTAACTTGAAATTGATACTTAGTATTTGGTGAAGGGAAATTGAGAAATCTTACTTGCACCTTTTTGTTTGGATTGAACTTACCTTTTCTTTTGGATCAGGGAGCTGAGTCTCATAGTAGTTCTGGTTTGGAAGCTTTTACATGTCAAATGTTCAGTTGTAGTGTTACTTGGGAAACTTCTATTGTTTGGGGGGATCATTCTATGGGTTGTGTCCTATTCATCAGCACTTAACCATTACAGCTCCATGGACAAACCAGTACAATATAATATGGTTGTTGGTTATCAATTCTTGGGTTTGGTTTCAATTTTATTTTACCAACTTTGGTGTATGTTTATCTAGGTTCGACTATGATATGTAGCCCTTGGTTTTGGTTTTTATTTGGGCAATGTTTTTGACGTAGGGAATAGTTTTTAGCTTTTCTCGAGGGGCTTTGGTTTGGTCCTCCCCTATTATACTTGTTTCTCTATTTCATATTTCATTTAATAAAAATACTTTCATAAATAAATAAATAAATCTATATATATATATATATATATATATATATATATATATATATATCTCTGTGTGTGTGTGTGTGTGTATGTATAGTCTTTACTTATTATAGATAACCGTGAAAAAAAACGGTGTGACACACACTACTAGTAATACATTACGGTTTCTCAAAACTTTGAAAATAGTTCTAGGATTAATAGTCTAACTACTATTTAAAAAGGGTATTCTTAATTTATTATTAACAACTTGTAATAGATTACGATTTCTATGAATTTTAAAAATAGTTCTACCCTATATAAATATATTACTGTTACAAGGGAGTCTTCTATTCTTATAATAAACAACTATGAAAAACAAAACCATATGAAACATACAACTAACAATATAATACTATTTTTTATAAGTTTAAAAATAGTTATAAACTGAAAAACCAGACTACTGTTTAGAAATAGTAGTCTTAACTAATTATTGACAACTGTGGCAACAAAAACTGTATTTTTAGGTGCAACGGACTACTAATAAAAGATTACTGTTTCTGACAAGTTTAAAAACAGTTCTACCCTCAATTCATAGACAACTGTTACAAAAGAGTCTTTTATTCCCATTAGAAACAACGGTGACAAAAAAAATCGTATGAAACAGACAACTAGCAATAGATAACTGTTTCTAATAAGTTTAAAAACAGTTCTAGACTAAAACATCATACTACTGTTTAAATAGAGTATTCTTATTTTGTTATTGACAACTGTTGCAACAAAAACTGTATTTTGAACTGACACAGACAACTAGTGATATATTACCGTTTCTCGAAACTTTAAAAACAGTTTTAAAGCATAGTAGCTAGACTACTGTTCTGTATCCAAGAAAAACTCACAGTAGTATGTTTTTTTAACTACTGTGTTTCCATAAACAGTAGTTGATCAACAGTCGTTTGATACTGTTTTTGGCGTAGTGATGTTTGAATGTCTTTTATATCAATTTTAGAAACATTTAGATCATTCAAAGAAACTGGGAATACCTAGTTTCAATGAAAAAGAATATCAAACTGAAACTGCATTATGGAGTTTTGAAATTACACAAACATAAATCCACAACTACATTAACACATAGTTTAAAAACACCAAGGAAACTGAAATTATCAGCAGAGAGAGAGATCAAGAAAGAGACCAAGGAAAGGGAAATTAGTGTCAGTACATGTTTGGGCTTACGCAGGTCTGCCGGCGCTGGAGCTGGAGGGGTGGGGCTCCCGGAGCTGGAGCTGGAGGGGTGGGGCTGCTGGAGCTGGAGGGCTGGACTACCGTAGACTTCCTCGCAGATGCCGGCTTTGAGACTGGACTGCCGCATACCTGCGCTGGAGCTGGAGGAGTGGCACTACCGGCGCTGTTATGCTCTCAACGGAGAAGAAGGACGTTGAATTAGAGTTGTCCGAATTCTGGAGCTTGTGGAGGTTGAAGCGGGAGAAGGGAGATTTGGGAATTTTGGCAGCGGGAGACGAAAAGCCTAAGAAAAAAGCAAAATTGAAAAAAAAAAAAAATTTAAATATATTGGGTGACATATATGCTTGGAGGCACACGTGGTGCCTCTTTAGCATTTTCCTCGCCATTTAATCTACTCCCCTGGTCCAAGATTAACACTGTGTTTGTTTGGAGGTGAGGGAGGTAGATTTATTATTCTACCTTGTTTGGTAACAAAATTGAGATAGGTCACGAGAGGTAATTGAAGGTAGAGTGAGGTAGAGTTACCTCTCAACGGTACACTTTGGAGACCGCCAATTTGGCGAAACATCAAGGTAATAAACTATTTTCCGCTGCTACCCTCTCCTTCATTCGCAGAGCAGAAAACAGGTCTTCATCTTCACGGTTCCTATCCAATCACATGTAATTTCCGATCTTCCCCTTCCCCTTTATTTTCGATTGTTACTTCAATTAGCCAATCCCCTCTGTTTCGATTACTTTTGCTCCCATTTTTTTTGCGGCACCCTTTTTTTGCGGCACCCATTGTCATCCAATCACAGATAATTAGGGATTGGGTTTGTTCTTGCTGCACCCATTTTTTACTCTGTTTTTTCTGTGATTTTTTACTCTGTTCCCATTTTTTTCTATCTTGGGATTGGGTTTGATTGTTGCGGCACCCATGAGTTTTACTCTGCTCCCATTTTCTTCTGTTCTTGTTTTTATGGTTTTTTTCTGTTCTTTTTTCTAGTTTTTTTATAATTGTGCAATAAAGAAAAACAATCACAAGGATATTTTAGTAATTTTATTATTTCCCTACCTCACGTTACCTAATAAACATCCAAACACAATTTTGTACTCCCTCCATCCCAAAATATTCACAACATTTGTTTTTTCATCGGTCGCGGGAACTTTTGTTTATTTTTACGTTTTCATTGGTTATTTGATAAAATAAAATATTTTTGACACCTCTTATTTCGAAGAATTTTTCATGTAGTTTTTTGATATGTAAATTTTATTTTTTATTTCTATACCAATATGTAAATTAAATGAATTGAAAAAACATGATATTTTACCTCGGGAATACAAGTGGCAAATATTTAGGGACGGAGGGAGTAACTCATTACCTTACTTTACCTACCTTCAATTACCTACCATTACCTACCTAATAAAACTTTCACCTACCTCCAACCAAACATACCCTAAAGTTCCAGTTTTTACCGGGCACGCACTTTAAGGAAATGTAAAAATTTCTTGATTTTCTAGATTTGCCCTTCTTTAAATTAAAATAAAGTGATGAGAAATGAAAAAGTGAATAAAGTAAGAATAGTGATGATTTGATTGATAATGATTAAAAAGGTAAAATATCCCAAAAAGTATACAAAGTTAAACTACTACTCCAAATCACAACTACAACTTTTACACGACATTCCAATGCCAAAATTTGTCAAAAATTCAAAGTCCCCCCAAAAGCAAAAAATTTCCATCCCATTACATTTTCACCAGTTATTAATACTCCTATGGAGTACTGCCATTCCCTTTTTAGAAAGCTTCCAAAGTCTTTATTCTCTCTTTTCTTCCTTCTTTGACAGTTCTCTTTTTTCCAGCAGCATAACATGTCCCATATCTTTTCTCTTTTCTTCCTCTTTTAAGAACTTGCTTTTACCAGACACACATTGTCCCTCCATTTTTCTCTTTCTACCATGTGAGACCACTTTTCTTTTTGTATTTGCTGCTATTGTCATTTCGATCTCAGGAATAGATCCATCTAGTCCTACACAAACACTACAAAGATAATCCCAAAACACACAAGAGAAAAGGACAAAAAAGCTTTCAAACTTAGAAAGGCAGGGAATATTAGACTACTTGTTGCCACATGCACAAATAAATTTCATGGAGACAGAAACTGCTTAGAGAGGTGCTGTGAATGAAGTTGCTTGAAGTTGCTGCTGAGTTCAGAGTTAGTAGAAGAACTATTTCTAAGTTGTGGTCAGAGGCTAAGACACAACTACAAGGTGGACATTGCATAGATGTAAGTAGAGGTGGCAATTGGGTCAACCGGATCGGTTTCGGGTTGGATTTTTTCAGTTCGAATATCTTTCGGTTATATGTTATAATCGGTTCAGTTCGGTTTGGATCGGTTAAATTTCGGTTCGGATTTGATTCGGTTCTATACATTTTTCGGTTCGGTTCAGTTTTGAGTCGGTTCATATACGGTTCGATTATAAATCGGTTTGGATAGATTTCGGTTTGGATACAATTTGAGTTGGATATATTTTGATTTCGGGTCTAGTCCGGTTCGGATATATTTCAGTTTCGGACCAAATATATTTTGGACACATATTATTTTCTAATTAAAATTTAACTATTTGTGTTTCTTTTTATGTTTTATCACATTTATCAATCTATCATCAATTCAATACCTCATATTATTTTATATTTTTTTCTAATTTTTTCTAATTATATTATCTCTACCCTAAATAATCTTTCCTTTTTGACTTTTTAGTCATATTTTACAAATTTGGACTACAAATTATGAAAACATATATATTTAATTATGATATAAATCTAATATAATTAAATGGATTTTAAAATTTAGTTTTGAAATATCAAATTTTTCTCACATCTACTAATATGCTTATGTTTATAAATGAAAAGATAAAAGATAAATTCAAATAGTGTTATGTTCCATTTGAATACAATATGGTAAAAATTGAGTAAAATTGGTTGAAATTAAGTAAATTTTATTCAATTGAATACAAAATTTATAAATTATTGAGTGTATTTGGTTGAAAATAGATAAAATTAAATTTAATAGAGTCAAATATAATTAATTTTACACCCAAATGTAATGGTGTAGGATCAAATTTGAAAATGATAACACTAAATGTTGCCGCGAGAAAGTCTTTTCAAAATGCTAACACTAGCATCTAATTTTATTGATTAATATTGAGTGAATTGGTTCGAAAGTAATCAAATTAACTCTTAAATCAATAAAATTTATTGTAATGGGATGAATTTAGAATAAAATCTAGTTATTACATACAATTCATCATATATTCCTTTCATCCCAAAAAGAATATCACACTTCACTATTTAAAAATTACGGAAATTTTATTTGTTTGTGCGTTATCATTTATATGTATAACTTATCTTTAATTTCTACATATAATAAATTTAAGGCATGAAATTTTGTACTTTTTTTCAAAATATAATCCATTTTATGAGGGAATGAGCAAGTAATGTAATTAGTTCAAATGATAAAATAAAAGTAAAAATTTAAAAATATAATATGCTTATTGAAAGGCAAACATAGTTCTGAATTTATCGATTTTAGTTCAATCGGGTTCGGATATTATCGGTTTCGGGTTTATCGGGTTCGTATCTAATTGGTTCTGGGTTTAATCGGTTCGGATATTATCGGTTTCGGATCTAATCGGTTTCGGATTTAAATCAGATATGAATTATTTAGTTCAGTTTCGGTTCGATTCGGATCATTTCGGGTTTTCGGTTATAGATCGGATCTTCATTTTTCGGGTCATTTCGATTTCAATTTCGATTTCGGATATTTCGGTTCGGGTAATCGGTTCCGGTTCTGTTTTGCCACGTCTAGATGTAAGTAACAAAATGTCACGAAGAGTTGGGAGGAAAAGACTTGTAGCCGATTTGGACACAATTGCAAACATCCCACTGCGAATGAGAACCACAATCAGGTCACTAGCCTCGGCTGCGAGTTTGTGCAAGTCTACAATTCATAACTAGGTGAAAAGAGGTATATTCTTCGAAGTCATAGTAATGTAATTAAGCCCTCACTCAATGAGGCAAATAAGAGACAAAGGTTGCTGTTTTGTTTGAAGTAAGTAGAGGAATCTAGTATTCCATCAACCCCAACTTTTAAGAGTTTTAAAAATGTGTTACATATTGATGAAAAATGGTTTTTTTGATAAAGACATCCCAAAAATACTACTTAACCCTAGAGGAAGAAGAACCCTACAGGACTTCTCAATCTAAGAGATTTATCACAAAAATAATGTTTCTTGGTGTGGTTAGAAGACCTATAATTTCAGATGATGGACAAATACTTTGGGATGGGAAAGTAGGCATGTTTCCTTTTGTGGAAACTGTTGAAGCAAAGAGGAAAACCAAGAATAGGGAGCGAGGCAGGTTCTCTGGAAACCAAACTAGTGTCTAGTGTATTAAAAGAAGTGTTTAAAAACATGTTGCTGCACAAGGTCATACCTGCCATCCAAGATAAGTGGCCACATTTCATGAGCAAAGAAATTGTTATCCAGCAAGATAATGCTAGGCCACACATTCTTGGGAATGACATAGACTATGTCATGGCAAGCACAACAAATGGTTTACAGATTTCCCTAACAAATCACCCCCTAATTCTCCAGACTTAAACATTTTGGATTTAGGTTTTTTTAGAGCTATACAATCATTGAAGGATTAAGCAGCTCCCATCAATGTCACAAAGTTGATGAATGAAGTACAAGATGCATATGATCAGTTCTCACCTCATACACTAAACAAAGTGTGGCTGACCTATTAACAAGTTATGGAAGAGATAATGAAAGTAGATGGGGTAACAACTACAAGGTTCCACACATGAGAAAGGATGGTATGTACAGGGAGGGGACATTGCCTTATGTGCTGCAACTATAAGAAGGTGTGTATGATAGAAGTCTTACAACACTTAATGGGCACAGTGAACCACCAGTAGATGTGGTTGAGACACATGAAGATCGATCTTTTGGGTAAGTTTATTCTTGAAGAAGATGAAGGGTTCATTCTCCCGGAATGAACTAACACCTTGTAGTACTTGGTGGTGTTTTGGTTTTTTGTTTATATATGCATATGGTTGTATTATGCTTTGGGTTTTCGGTTTTTGGGTATTTGAATTTTGGGTTTTTTTAGATATAAGCCTTTAGAAACAACAACAGCAACCATTCATGCAAATTGTATTCCTATATGAATATGGACTAAATATTTTTCATCATTACAGTTATACATGCGCAGACACACGTAAAGTGTATAATTTTGAACTCTAAAACCTCATCACATCATGCTCAGGGGTAATGGGTAATTGTGCACACACACACACAATGCAGAGGTGCAACACATGTAGGTTACAACAGGAGTACACACACAAACACAATGCACACACACTGCAAAGGTGCACACACATAGCTAAGTTACACCAGGAGTGGAAACCTCATCACAGCATGATCAGAGCTAATGGAGACTGTTGGACATGAGTTCAAACCCCTTTAGATATTTTTTTCTTGAAATTAATTTTTCAGGTTTTGATAAATGACAAACGCAAAGCTGAACAAAAATTTATTTTCGGTTCAAGAAAGCAAAAAAGACACATCAAGAAATTTACAACGACAACACTTCGACATCCCTACGCAAGTTATTTGAAGTGAAGAAAGGCGTTCCAAAAACTTTTCTTTCTTTGAGTCTAGGAAATTTGTAAGGATGACAAAATATCTTTATACTTAAAGAATTATTTTGTTGAGGGATATACATTAACAATTATATTTATTTTTAGAGTTAGTTGAAAAATCATTTAACGATTCAAAAATAAATTTATTGAGTCACTTACAAAAGATGTGTCAAACAATTTTAAAATAATCATTTTGATACTAGAAAAATTATCTTACCCAAATATTTTTCAACATCGTTTGACACACAAAATATTTTTAGGACTCACTTTATATACCCCAATTCACAAATCATCCCATTTATGCAAAAATTTATTTTGAATAATTATAGGATGTGAATGGGAGCCTTTTTCTTGAGAATCCTGTTGGAAACAACAAGATATTGACAATTGTCCTTCACTATCTCGTCACTAATTGATTCTTGCTGTCACTACACTATTTGCAGTAAAAATCGATTTTTATTTTTTGCAAAAATCGATTTCCTGTTCTTGCGCAGATAGGCTTTTTCGCCCAGTTTTTAATCGATTTCTAAAAAAATCGATTAACTAATTCTTGAATTAATCGAATTAACACTTGTTGCGCAGAAGGAATTTTGCTCAGAAGCATCTAATCGACTTTCCCTCTTTGTAAAAATTGATTTTTTGTCCGTTGCACCTCATACTTAGCCAAATTTCATTTTTCACCTATATAATCCCTATTCTACCTTCATTCTAGATACAATACAAGCACTCCAATCTTCGCATTCATTACTCTTGAGTCTTGCTCCATTTCTTGATAATCAAATACTATTTTGAGAGCTCGATATATATATATTTCTTGAGTGCAAAGATATTGTCATCCATAGAGCTTACTCTTTAAACACTACTTGCTCATTTGTGAGCTTCATTTCTTGTGTTGTAACGCCCTGCAACCTGGTCTATTAAAATTGTTTAATTTAATTAATTAATTACTAACTCGGACCGGGGTTGGGAAAATTAAAATCCTTAGAAAAATTATTTGATCATGTCATAAAATTTGTCTTGACTGTCTGATTCCAGAAACGCAAACGGGTCTCAGTTTGGACCCGTTCGGGGGGAAAAGTGCGTACCGTTCAGGTTAGATTTTACATAACAGAATAAAATTTAGGGAGATAACTCCCCATTTATTTCTCACGCCACTCTCCCCTTCCCTCTCCCCGTATTCACTCACCATCATTATTCTTCATTATTCCCTATTAATATCCCTCCTTCACCTCCTTCACTCACTTGTAACCTCCAAAGCATTCACATAACTCATCACTTCCTTCCCTCTTCCCTTTGTGCATTTTCAGCCAGACCATAGCAGCTCAAGGAGGTATTCCGGCAAATAGACGGGGAGGTAGAAGAGGAGAAGTTCACACGAGGAGCCGTTCGTTAGATGTCCGTTCGTTTATCCGTTCTCCGTTATCGTTAATCCCTGCGTAAGAGGTGAGTACGTTGCCTCTAACTTTAGAATTCATAGTATAATCATATCGGTATATTCATAGGATTACCCGGCTAATCATACGTGTGTCCGCATTATCATGGTTATTCGTTATCTAGACTTTTCGATTATAAACATGTTAATATAAACGTTTGATCATCCATAATTTCATAGCTTATTCAATATGAAAACAATAACGTTCATCCCAAAAACTTCCAACGTAAAGACTATATTCAAACTGGCTAAGTGGCGAGCTGCGTGCCATGATAATCGATTTACATGACTAGACAATCGATTATCAGGCCACACTGAACTTTTTGTTAGAATCAGCAAGGTGTGACAATTGATTCTCAGATCCTGCGAGTTCCTGAGTCTGAGCTGGTTCATCTGATAATCGATTATCACAGAAACAATAATCGATTATCAGGCCTCTCTGAACTTAGGACTTCCAAGACAAACCAACTTGACAATCGATTGTCATGAGGTGACAATCGATTACCATAGTCTGCATGACTTTGGGAACAGAAGCTGCATAGCATGTTAGTCGATTACCAGAAATGGATAATCGATTACCAACCAGTTCTGAACCCAAGGCCATCATATTGTATAAATCATTTCATATGGAATCAAACCTATATGTATGTGTTGAACTTCATTCATAAAGCTATGCATTCACATCATCACGTATATCCTAGACGCATGTTTTGGATCATGGCATACTTTGCATACCGCGACAAGAGGTTAGGCCTAGTGCGCCTCTTCCGCGGGCCCGTCTAGGAACCTGCAGGATCCAACGGGTTTTCATCACGAGGGCTTGTGTACGTACATGGTAGCTAGGCTTCAGCTATCACCCACATTTCTAGTCTCCAACGGGAAAACTAAGGCGTTCCTAGGCTCATCTACCGCGTGGGGATGATCACCGAAGGGCACGGGGTCCCTGCGCAGTCTAACTCATGCATCATGGTTATTTGGCATTGCATCACTGTATACTCGTAACCTATTATTCATCAAACTTGTACGTGGTATCTCGTACTTTAGCACAGGTACGATTATGTTTATATCAATGTGAATGTACTATGTGTTCTACTCTTAGATTACCACTCAGCTTTTGCTGAACGTATAGCGTTGACTTTGTTATACACAGGTAGGCAAGACGATCATGGAGCCTGACCCGGACGATTGGGAGATAGAGGCAACGGATCGAAGATAATGGGGATCCGATTTATTTTCTATTATTTAATTGAAACATTTTTGGGCTTGAACCCACTATTGTTGCATTTTATTTATTTATGACTTAACGTTTTTACTTTATAATTACTTCCGCTATAAAACATTTCTTTTAAGTGAATTCATTTTCATCATTAATAAAGTATAACAAGGGTTTTCAGTTACACGCAACTCAAGGGTTTCTTTGTAAATGGTCCTAAAAATCGTCTACGTAACTTCTCCGGATCGTTGGGCCGCGGTGAACTGGGTTCGTGGGACAGAGGGTGTTACATGTGTTGTTAAACTCATCTTGTTTGAGTTATTGTTCTTAAGACTTGTGTGACTCAAGTCTTGGTGTTGGAAGAAAGTGAGACTTGTGTGATTCAAGTTCTCAAGTTGTAACATTTTTTCAAGCACCCATTGAAGCTTGAAGATTAGTAGGACCTTTGAGAGAGTCTCTTGGAGGACTGGACTAGCCACGAGGTGGTGAACCAGTATAAATCTTGGTGTTCTTCTTTCCCTTTCTCTTTAAATTTATTCCTGCAATTTTTATTTCACACACGCAAAAATGCACATTCTTGAAAACAACTCTATTCACCCCCCTCTAGAGTTGCACATTTGTCTAACAAATGGTATCAGAGCTTTAAGTTCTTTGAATACGTTATATTTTCAGGAACTAAAAGATCAAATGGCATCAAGAATGTTCAACGCATGAGTTACCGAGGGACAATCAACCACGAGGCCACCTTTGTTCGATGGAACAAACTACTCATATTGGAAGGACAGGATGAGAATTTTCATCTAATCCAACGACTACAAGCTGTGGTTGATTATGAAGAACGGCTGCGAGATTCCGATGAAGGAGGTCAAAGGAGTCTACCTTCCCAAAACTGAAGAAGAGTTCGACGAGAATGACTTCAAGAAGATGGAGCTCAACACCAAGGCAATAAACATAACTTATTGCAGCGTGAATGCGGATGACTACCGAGAGCTCTCGCGGTGCGAAACCACAAAGCAAATGTGGGAGAAGTTAGAAATCACCTGCAAAGGAACCACCCAAGTTCGGGAGGCCAAAATAGACCAACTCACCCACGAGTACGAGTTGTTCTTGATGAAGGAGAATGAGAAGGTAGAAGAGATGTTCAAGAGATTCTCCAACATCATCAATCCTCTTAACCTTCTTGGAAAAGTCTACACCAACCGAGAACTTGTAAGGAAGGTGTTGCGGAGCTTGTCACCCAAGTGGCGTTCAAAGGTGGCCGCAATCGAGGAAGGGTGTGGCTTCCAAACGATGACTTATGACTCTCTTTGAGGTAATCTCATTACCTACAAAACTACTCAATTTTCAAAAGTCGTTGAAGAGAAGAACAAGAGAAGCACCGCTCTTCCCGCAACAACGTCAACCAATAACATTGACGACGAAGATGATGATAGTGATGACACCGACATTGGACTCTTCGTCCAGAGATTCAAGAAGATGATGAACAAGAAGGGAGCCAAGAAAAACACTCCACCTAAGTGCTATGGGTGTGGTGAAATTGGACACATTAAGCCAATGTGCCCGAAGATCAAGAACAAGAAGGATAAGAAAGCACCAAAGAAGCAACGTGCCTATATCTCTTGAGAGAACGATGGCTCCGGGAGTGAAGATTCCGAAGCAGAGGAGATGGCCAACCTTTGCCTTATGGCCATTGAGGAATATCAAGCATCTAAGGAGGTAAGTGATCAAGAACCTTTCTCAAATGATCCCTTAACTTTAAATGATGTTGTTTGCATTTTAGAAGAACTTGTAGAGATGTTTAAGAAGGCCTCAAAAGAAAATAAAGAAGTTAAACATAAAATCCTGATTTTTGAAAATGATATCAAAGAACTCAAAAACATAAATGATCAACTTAAACAAGAAATTGTTTCTCTTGGAAAAAGGCCGGAAACATCACCATCTTGTTCATCTACTACATGCTCTAGTTGCACTTCCTTTAAAACTAAGGTTGCTACTTTAGAGAGCAAATTGGGAAAGTTTAATAAAGCCTCAAACACCTTAGATAAAATACTTAGGCAAAAACCTAGTAATGGTGAAGGACATGGATATAAGAAAAACCCACCTAGAAAAACAACATTTGTTAAAGCTAGGGGGATAAAAATGCTAGGACAAATAGTCAAACTAGAAGAGCACCTCCTAGCAAACCTATAACTCATTACACTCAAACATATATGATGAATAATCCAAATGTTATTTGCCATTATTGTAATAAGATAGGTCACATTGCACCCGTGTGCTTCACCAACCATAGGCATTTTCAAAAAATGCACACACATCGAACATATGCTAACCAAAAAGGACCCAACAATACATGGATACCTAAACCGTGTCCTTGATATCATTTTATAGGTGTGCTTGAAGGCTTCGAGTACCTCTTGGTATCTCGATAGTGGATGCTCCAAGCACATGACTAGAGACGCATCCAAGTTTAGAAGTTTAGAGTACTTCAAAGGTGGCAATGTCGTTTTTGGTGACAACAATAAAGGAAGAATCGTTAGAAGTGGTATACTGTCGGAAGAGACAATGCTACAACCATTGATAACGTTCTTCTTGTTGAGGGCTTCAAGCACAATCTTCTTAGTATTGGTCAATTGTGCGATAGAGGTAACCGTGTCATCTTTGATTCTAGTAAATGCATCATAGAACGCTTGTGTGACAATAAGGTTATTCTTTGTGGTAGTAGGGTAGATAAAATTTATACGTTTCACCTTGAAAATTCCCCATCTACCTTAGCTAAGTGCCTTATTACTAAATAGGAGGAAACGTGGCTATGGCACCGTCGGATAGCTCACGTTAACATGGATCATCTTAACAAGTTGGTCTCTAAAGACTTAGTAATTGGTGTTCCTAAACTTAAGTTTGAGAAGAATCTAATTTGTGATGCATGTCAAAAGGGGAAGCAAGTAAGGGCTTCGTTTAAGTCAAACAACGTTGTTTCTACGACTAGGTCATTACCACTTTTGCACATGGACCTTTATGGGCCTTCAAGAACGATGCGTTTAGGAGGCAATTACTTTGGCTTTGTTATCGTTGATGACTATTCGAGGTTTACATGGGCAGTTTTCCTTGCTCATAAGTATGATGCACTTAATGCTTTTAAAAAATTTATCAAATTGGTTCAAAATGAAAAAGATTGTTACATAACATCCATTAGAAGTGATCATGGGGGAGAATTCGATCAAGATGGATTTGACGCCTTATGTGATAAATTAGGTCTGTGGATGCGAGTCTTTTGTAGCGGTAGCCGGCTATTGTTGGACGGTACCCTGCTCCCATCCATCATGAGAAAACACATACAACATCGGATTTCAGTTCTAGTTTCATCAAATACTAAAATATGATCTTTAGGAGGTTACTAGCATAAAACCACATCAAATTTGAGTAGTAAAACATATCTCGCCTCTCCTCTTCATCAATCAATCAATTAATTCCAATTAAATCATAATTAAACATTCATAAGTGAATAATTCACACAAACAATTCTATGGTTGCATATGCATAAGAATTAACAATGTCTATGATTTCTACTCTAGAACAAATCCACGAACTTACCTCGATAGATCTTAGAAAATAAGCGATTCAATTCGATGACTCGAACGACGGTGGGGAACAATGGTGGCTGGTGGCAAACATGACGTCTCAGCATCAATCGATTAGCAGCGAGACTACCTTCCGGCGACCCAAGCAGCGTCGGCACGGTCGTCGGTTTCTTCGTCCTTGTTCCTCCTATCGTGCATGTTCTTTCTTCTTACGCAAATAAGAAAGTGTGTCGCACTAGTTTAGTGAAATATGAGAATTTTTTTTGGCTTGGATGGATATATAATTGCGTTTGCCTGGGACTGCATTTCAAGGTAATTAATTACAATGTGTCTTCTATGTGAAGGCTAAGTGACTTCATTTTGTAGCATTAGGAAGGGTAGGGTGTGTGGTCTGCATATGCGACCTACCCTGTTGATGCCATGTGTTCTGTAAAAATTAGTTTGGTTGAAATGCAAGAATAGACACTTTACTATATTTAGACTCATTGTGCAAATGAGTTTAGTTTACCAATAATATATATATATATATATATATATATATATATATATATATATATATATATATTAACAGATTAAGAAAAAATCTCAAATTATAATACAAATTTAATTAGTAAAAACATTTATTAACACTCAAATTATAGATCAATTAGTAAAAAACAGATTAAGAAAAAATCTCGTTTGCTCCAAGTCTTGAACCAAAGATTTAACACAAAGAAGATAAACAAAGAAGAAGATAACATAAAGAAGAAAATATCTCATTTGCTTGCATTCTCAAACGAAGAAGATACAGAATTTAAACATGGAGCACAGATTGAAATACATACCTTACTCTATTACTTAACACAGAAGAAGGGAAGAACCAAAGAAGCACTGTAGCATCTCTGTCTCGTTGTCTCGGGCTCTCAGCAGAGAAGGCAGAACCGTAGAAGCTTCGCGACTAAATCCCGAAACCCCAATCGCCAGATGCTAGACACAAATCCCAATCGGAAAATCCATGTGGGTTACATGATTTGGATAATAGATATTGAGGGAATGAAAGGATTGAATTTGGAGTGGGCTTACTCGCTAGGCTATTGGGCTTGAAAAAATTGATATTATTAATTTATTAAACATATTTATGGCTTATTCGGTTAACCAAATAAATCATTGACCAAAACCGACACTCGACTGAATTACTTGAAGAAATCGAACTTTTTATCATGGGAAACCAAAATTAATTTTGTGGTTACTTTTGTTATTGGTTTCCGGTTTCACGATCAGTCTGGTTAATTTGCAAACCCATAAACTGAGTCATTTAATTTCTTCATCCATAATTACATAACACATAACACCAAGATTTGATATATCCAAACATAATAAATCATGATTCAACTATCGGCCTAACGTTGAGTGTGGACACCCAAGCTTACCGTCATGCAACATACAGAGTCTTGGAGTACATCCTTGACACTTAAAACGAAACAAAAAATAGAACAACAAGATTTTGGCGGTAATGGTAGTGACATACTGTACGTCGGTAGCTTGCTACCGGCTGGCGGTAGTGACCTTCCAACCGTTGAGAAAATTACTTGGTGCTACTGCATCAGTCAAAAATCCTATGCTCTGAGCATCAATTTGTAGTAACCAATGTACATAATGCCTCAATAACATTGATAAATATTATATCGGCAAACAAACAATCAAATAACGTTTAATCATGGTTTCTACCCGATTAATACATTAATAGCCTGCTTTTCCCAAAAATCACTATTTTTAAAAAATAAACCATACGAGGTTATGAACGTCATTTCAAACCTATACATATAATCTAGCATTAGATTTCCATGTAATCACCTTGAATTGACCAAATTATTAACAACAAAGAATCGAACCTACGACAGCGATGGCACGGAGAACAACAACGATGGTGGCGATGACAAGCTTCTTCTTCTTCCTTCTTCTTCTTGCTTCGTGCGTGTTGCTGCTATTTCTGATCAAGAGAGAGAGAGAGACGCGAGAGAGAGATTGAAGTCATGCGGCATACGTGCAAAACATACTTAAGGAGGATATATACTCATAGGGTTTCGTGCTCTGCAATTACTTAACGTACCTCGGTAAAGTACACTTTTCTGGCCAATTTGCTCCAAATTCAGATCCGTTTGCATCATTGGACTTGTCTTGCCTAACCCTACACAATGGTATACTATTTATAATTTAGTGGCAAGTAATTATATTTAACTCTGAGTCCATCTCAAGAATTAATTAACTTTTTTAATTACTTAATTCTGATAGGTCAGGTTTCGAGATGTTATATTTCTCACCCCCTAAAAACAATTTTGTCCTCAAAATTACCTGAGTCATTGGTCGCTAAAGAGCTGAAGATACTGAGCTCGTATGGATTCCTCAGTCTCCCAGGTTGCTTCTTCCATGGAGTGATTTTTCTAATGAACCTTGGCCAAGGGAAACAGACTTGTTTCTCAGTTTGTTTGCCTCGCATGCCAATATCTAGATGGGTTCTTCCTCATAAGATAGATTCTCATCAAGTGTAACAGCTCCCTCAGGTAAGACATAGGATGGATCTGAACGGTATCTTCTAATCATAGACACATGAAATACATCATTAATCTTATTCAGCTATAGAGGTAACTCTTGCTGATAAGCTACCGGTCTCACTCGCTCGATAACCAATAAGGTCCAATGAATTGAGTGCTTAGCTTAATCTTCTTACCAAATCTCAACAACTTCTTCCAAGGTGAGACTTTCGGAAACATGAGGTTTTCGACATTGTACTCTATCTCTTGATGCTTGAGGTCCGTGTAAGATTTCTTACGGTTTGAAGAAACCTGATATCTATTGCAGACCCGTCAAACTTTCTCTTTCGTTTCACGGACAAGATCAATTCCTTCGAGCTTGGGCTTGCTCAACTTGGTCCAACAGAAATGGGCTCTGTTATTGTAAGCGAATTCCATCAGTGGCAGATATCGCTCCCAACTATCTCCAAAGTTAATGACACAAGCTCTCATAATGTATTCTAGAATCTAAAACATCCTCTCAGAGTGACCCAGATTCATAGTATACATAGTTTCGTGAGCTTCACGCATCAAGTGCTCCCTCACTTCACCATTCGGTACCATAAGGAGATCCTGAGGCAACGAACACGTGGAACGATCGGTATGTATTCGATACTTGATCGCAATACTCTATACAGGACATATACTTTACTCGGTCATACACCATGAAAGGGATCAAGACTTAGAATTACCCATTAGGGTACTCTTAGGATTATCGTATGTAATGTTGTCTAGCAAGTTGAGCAAACATCTAGATGATACATGCACATATGTGATGCATGAACTAGTGCATACACACCCCATGATACATGTATGATGTATCTATGTACACTACGTCCACATGTCATGCATGATATGTGCATGTGACACCCACACACGATAATATGTAACAACAAGTATGTAATCCACCTTCTACTAGTCCATGGAGGGGCAGTGAGGGGGTGGAGATGGACTATCGGTCATACACACAATCGATTATACTTTCATTCCACACTTGTACGTTCAATATTGTTCCTTATTCTTGGGCATAGTTCTTGGCTTTCTTTCTCTCTAGAATTTATTTTCTAGATCAGGCTCCTAGAATCCTTTAATACCACCTCTTTTATAAATCTCCCAAGTTTGATTTTAAAGACTTTATATAAAGTATTAAAAGTTAAAAATTTATTAATAAGTTTTATTTACAATATGGAGAAACTTTTTTTAAATTGGCAAAACAAAAAGTAATAAATAGTTTTACTAAAAAGTATTAATATAGAAAATTTTAAAATTCATTTGTAATAATTTAGCTTTCGATACATTTTCTAAAAATATTTCATTGATTTTGACTATATTTAAGTTTCTCTTCTTTTCAAATGTAAAACAGAGCTAGATGTTGGAAAAACAGAATGAGATGGAAGAAACCAAAAGTAGTTGGAAGAAAGTGAAAGAAGTTGAAAGAAATTAGAATGAGTTAGAAAAAACTGGAAGAAGTTGAAAAAATAAAAAATGTTGAAATAATTACTATATTTTCTAAATTTCATATTTTATTTAAATAATTTATACTCTACTTTTATAAAGTGAAATTTGCACTAAATAGTATTAAAATATATGTCTTTTTTCCATGTAGATTGATTTTTTTATTCCTTAAATAATACTTGATGAACAATGTCTAGTGGCGGGAACAATGTCCAGTGGTGGGGACAACCGGGACATTTACTTGAACAATATCTAGTGGCAGTTAACATTTACTTGAACAATACCCAGTGGACATCGAACACTGGTACTACTTTGAGAATTAAAACATATGATACTACATTCGTAAACTCATTATGTTTTAGTACAATATGATTATATTCCTCTTTTTTAAACTTTTTATTTATCTCTCTTTATTTTCTTATTTACCATTATATTATTCTGCCAAATCATAATTGTACCTTTTGAATGACTAACAATCACTCATACTTTTTTTATTTTTGAAAATTAATCTTTGTTAAATACGGTAGATATATTATTCTTATTATTCAGAAGATTTTGTTTCATTATTTACCTAGACGTTACCTTCTCACGTGTATATATAATACCCCTACCTATGATGAATAAAGCATCAAGTTTACAACACGTTATCAGCACAAATGTCTCTAAAACCCTAATTCTCTCATTCTCTCCTCCTTTTTTATGATCCACATAGCAGCGAATATCTTCTTTGCCTATCCATATTCTTTGATTGTTGCTTGTGAAGGTAAGAGGGAAAAATACTTCTATGATGCGCCGCACAACAAAAAACCAAGCAGAAACATCTTCTCGCACACGATTTAGAAATTAGATCGGTGCTTATCTTCGCCCGCACGCTGATGGCTCATCGCTAAGATGATGACACATCTATGGTTAGTCAAAGAAGACCCAGAGAAACTGAATTTTATGGCAGACTTGCAATCTCTCTAGCCATTATCTCAAAGGGCCCTCAGAGACATATGGATGGAAACTCATAGCAAATTAGAGTATATCTTTCTATCGAGTACATACCCTAGAGTACTTCTTCTCAATTTAGGTTTGTTCTTCTCACACACAGTCCAGGAGATATATTCACAGCACAGTATGTTTGTCAATTTTATGATTAAGTATTCCCAATCTTAGAGGGAGACAAGTATAAAAAGGATTGGTAATAGAAGAAATTAAATGGAATGCATCAACATATACGAGTAGAGTGAAAAGTTACATACACCAGCATCTTATGCATCGCTTAGTTTAAGAGTCCCAGAAGTGACTATTGTACAATGAAATGTGGGAGAAATCAGTTCCGACGATAAAAACCCACATAACTGAAAAGTGTACAATAATGCAATTGGTGAACCGCAGAGGATTATAAATAAAACCACAGAAGAGGTAAATGTCCCAAAAGAGACTAATACTATTCTAAAAGGAAAAAAAACCCCAAAAAAGGATAATGTCCTAGAAGAGACTACTAACATTTCTAGAAGAAATTAATTTTCTTGGAAGAGATATTGGTACCAAATAAAAATGAGATCTCTATTAATTATGTACAAGACAGTACAATATGGAACTTGTAACACCCTAATCCGTCTAGGTCTGCAGCCCCTTTCAGACTAAAGTATTTAACTTGGTAATTGTATAATTTAAAACATTTCAATTAACTTTATTGATCATAAATAAAATTTCATACATAACTGTAGAAAATACGGAGTGTTTAATAATAATGCGGAAAAGACTTTTAAACATTTCTCATAACAACATAATTACTTATTTTATTCAATGATCCACCACGACTGTCTCGCCCCTTCTGCTGCCAAGAATCAGCCAATCATTTATTCTGCCTACCTGCGTGTAGCAAATAAAACACACTACACGCTCAGCGGTGAAGCTGAGTAAGCATATCTAAAGTGTTGAACATCCACATAAATTGAATCTCAATTCATAATCAACCATTTGATATCATGCACACAATGTATGATTCAAACATTCATGATATTCTCAATATTTTATTCCAAGTCATTTGATATTCAATATCTCAACAATGCTCTTAAATTCTAATTAATCTAAGGCCAAATCATTTTATAACAAGCTCTTAGCTATTCCTAGTCTAAGGCAATATTTTTAACCATGCCCTTAAACTATAAATAGTTTAATGCAGAACACAAGAATCGATAATCCACCCTATGAGTCATGTGGATTACATACCAAACCAAACAGTGATCTGTCGGGTGGGTGATATCCATTCTAGATCCCGTACGTACGTTTTAACCCTGAATTATGGATTGGTCAAGGAGGTATATCTTAGAGTTCTTCTAGATATCCTTAATCATCATCAATATACAAGTGGGTATATCTTAGAGTTCTTCTAGATATCCTTAACAATATACATCATTTTCATGATCACCATTATATTCATTTTTAATCATGCTTTAATCATCAATAATCATTCTAACCAATAGGTTTATCATTCATAATTATCCATAATAATTATTCATCACAATGATCATTCAACATAACATTTAATAACAAATAGAGGCCTAGTCTCGAGTGTTAACACCCGAACTTACCGTCATGCATCACATAATGTTTTATATGTCAAAAACATCATTTCTATTGTACAGAATCATATTTATATTGTTCATAATTAATTGGTATCAAAAATAGGATTTTAGAGCTCAAAAATAGCATTTTTCGTAGCTGACTGTGTTCGGAATAGTCGACTGTTTTCAGGCGACGGTCGACCATCGTTGCTACCGTGGTACTGGGGCTTCTGGTCCTAGAACGGTCGACCGTGGTGACAAAACGGTCGACCGTTGCTGTATACCAGCAACAGTACTTCGTCTTCAACCTCGGTTAAATTTTTTCGAAACATCATTTTAACCCACCAAACTTCAATTAAACTATATAGAAATGTTCTCCAATGTTCATAGATCATTTAAATACCATTAATTCGAAGTTTTAACAACAAATTCACAGTTTATGATTCTTAGTTTTTCAAGCATGTCAAACACAAAACTCAACCAAATGACCATCTATGAACGTAAAAACGACCTATATGAACATTCTAGTCATTAGATATATCTACGGGCTTACCTCGAAGCGTAATGGAGGTTTTGGAAATTTTCCGGCAAAACTTCTGGCAACGATTACTCTCAACTCCAGCGACTTCTCACCAAATTGACAGCACCACAACACTCCTCACACTCTCAGGAACATAATAGGAAGAAGAATTATGAAGAATGGTAAAGAAATGAGGGTGTTAGCTTCTCCTTTTATAGAGAAGATGAAGAAGCCAGGAATGTCTTCTTCTCATATCCTGCAATCGGCGTAGTGGGGAAAGAGGCGCCGTCTAAACAGTTCCCTGATTGGGACCAATTTTGGTTCCAATCGGGGTACACTTTTTGGTCCAACTTTCTCCAAATTGAAATCCATTTGCACCGTTGCGATCAGACAGTTAAACTCTATCCAATGATATAATTTTCATAATCATTTGTAATACTTTTTTCGACATCATATTTTTGGGTGTTTGACTTTGACAGAGTCAAAATTGGTTTAATTGACCTTTCTCATAAAAGGTTCTCTCATTTAATTCATATCAATTACTCTCATGATATATTTCAATAAATCATTACAAAGTTCGCATCATAATTAATTTCTTCATTTATTCTTGATTTGGGTCTGTACTCAGGTTCCCAATCAAGGTCATACAATAAGTCAACATATTGGATTTATCTCTATATGATTTATCCAAATTATTAAATTGGATATCAGAACATCTTTTACTTTGGCCCAAAGCCCAACAAGAATTTATTTTAATCAAAGTAAATTTGATTAATCGAATAATTATTCATTAATAATTCTAGGATATGTTTTGGGGCGTTACAGAACTGCCATGAAATACATGTTGATGACATTTTTGCATATGCTATAGCAATGAATGTACTAAATGAGAATTATTACATACCTAAAACTCTAGAAAAGTGCATGCACATGAATAATTGGCCAAAATGCCAAGAGGCCGTGAACTTCGAACTTGAATCACTTCACAAACATGAGAAGTTATTGGTAGGTATGGGTCTGAAAGCCCTACCCTATGCTGGGAACACTCCATGAAGGAAAACCCAACCTGGGTAGTACCTAGGTTCAATGGGGCAACCTACTAGTGTGACGAAGCATGGTCATTGTGGGGGAAGTCAGATCACCTGACTTCAACCTCTCTGCTCCTACCAAGACACAATACATCCCGGAAATATTGAGGTTAGCATCATCAATATGCTTTAATTATTCTTGAACTATGGACAATGAGGTCCAAGTGCAATAATCGAGATACTCTTAGAAGAATCACCTATGTAAGATTGAAGTGTGGTCGCTTCATCAGAATGATTTCGGGCTAATTTTGCGTGACACTCATGAGAACGGAACGATGGTTGGTTGAAACCTATGTATGGTATATCGTCGTTTACACAAACGAAAATACAGTTCAAGGACATTGCGCTCAACTGAACAACTAGTAAAGAAGGTACACCCAACAAGGAGTAGGTTCAAAGGCCTAAAAATCTACCTATTCTTGATGTTTTCAACTATAGAGTTATTGCCAAGCACATGAATCAATTTTCATTTATGTGGGGGATTGTTGGAATTTTCGGCCTGTAATGGGACAACTTTGGACATAAATTTGGTGGGGTCCAAAAATTATTTTTTAAAAATAATTATGGACAAATAATCTCCCAAGTGAGACGAGTGTATTGACATATCGTGCCCCAATAATGGTGCTCGGTTGAATGAGAAATTAATTTACAAAGTCGGACACTTGGGAATAGTAAAATCCACTTATCCCACATTGGATTTGAGACCCTTCATTTTCCTCAATTTATATGCTAGCATTGAATTACATGGTAAAGCAATTTGAGAAGGAGGAAGGAAAGGACCCCTTGCGCACCGTCGTTCCCATCGTCTGTCTGGCTTGGCACGTCACGACATGCGCGCATTATGTTGTGATGAGGGCATGAGCCAACTCTTATCTTTTTACGAGACCAAATTGAACACGTGTAGACACGCCATTAATAACGAAGCATACATGCAGTGTGAAAAGTCTCTAGAGACTCCTCGTGTTGTCCGCCGGTTCATAGGAATAGCCAAAGCCTCTCATATATAAGGAGATGCTAATTGCAGTGGAGACATACAAATCGAAACTCTTCTTGCGTCCAACTCTCTTCTCTTCCAACCAATTTTCTGGCAAGTAATTCTTCGTTCGTTCTAGTTCGCCGGTGCACAGTTCTACGGATCTAGGCCTTGCACGTTAGCGGTTTTATCCTGTGAGGGGATCGTCCATGTTTTCCAGTGCGGGAGGCAGACGATACTACGTTAAGGAAAGCTCTGACGACTCTGCTTTCCTTATCCTTTCCACTTTTGACTACCAACATCCTTCTTTTTTATTTTTTATTTTTTTAATTTACTCGTTATAAAATCCGAACATACTATAAGTTTCTTTCAATTCGTTTTTTTTCTCTAATTTTTCTTTCCGAATCCAAACAAAAGGATAAATCAATCAAAACTCAAAAGTACTGTTCGAGACAAAATACTCCGTACTAGACAAAAGAAAATTGTTCAACAAACATGGCCTTATAATCATGGACCGTGCTACAGTGCTCCCACCAATGCCTCCTTTCCTGCCTCCCTATTTAAGGTATTTTTTACCTTTTCTCCTTCTTTTTTTTCCTCCTTTCCTCTATGTTGCTCTGGATCTGCTCTTCCGCGGCAGCGACCGGCTCTCTTCTCCCTTTCATGCGCTCTCCTTCTTACAAACCGGCAGGTAATCTCTTCTTTTTCTTATCTTCCTCTTCATATCTCTGATGCGCCAACCCCTGTAGCACGACAATTCCTCTGTCAATCTCTTCTCTTCATTCCATTTTTAGTCAATTTCTATGGCAATAATTTTTTGAATTTTTGTAGAGTACATAGGATATTTGGTGATTATGGACTTACAAACATCTATTGTCACACATGTTGAGAATGAGCAACTACATGATTTTGGTGGTGAAGAAGAAGACCTGGTTTTATATGAGTTGCAGCCCAGTTGTAAGTGTTGATATTTAGACCCCATTCTATATTCATTTGAAGTAGTGAAAAAAAAACTGTTTTGTTTTCGTGTTACAGAGATTAAAGTTCTGTGAATCTAGGGTTTGTCCTTGTCACAGACGCTAATTATCTGTATGAACTCTGCATTTGGTGTATTATTGTTTTCTTCATAGTCAGGTATTTTATTATATTAAAGGTACTGTTTTTTGCAGCTTTTGAACCAGATTTTTTTCTAAACGATCCTTGCTTTCAGTATTTATTTAACGACGAAGGGCAAGAACAGGCGAGTGGTGAGATCAGACAAAACACAGATGACATTAACAATGATGTCCGGAACAATGGTCAATGT